GGAATTACCACTCGCAGGCTCATCGATAATGCACGAAATATTAAAATTGAACTTGTTTTGAGCTTCACTTGAGTCGTTAAAAGGCACTGATGTACTTGTTTGGACATTTTTTTGGATTATTTGCAGTGTTCTTTTATTCCAGCATGTTTTGAAAAGTAATTTTACGACATTTTTTGAAACTGCTTGGCGCACCGCCATCTTTATTTTGTTTTTCGTGGCTTTAAAAGCTCGCRCCATCATAAAACTCGTTCCCATTTCCCTCGCGGTAAAAATTAACTATATGGAGCTACCTTAAGAGGAAAGTATTACGAACAATAGTCCCCTTGACAGTTCCCTGCGCCATCTTGAAAGGTATAGCCGAGCCTTTGCATCAAAGTGAGACGAACGGTGAGCTTGCAATGATAGAGACCTTTTTTTAACACCTTGGACAATCATTTACATGTCTCTATCATTGCAAGCTCACCGTTCGTCTCGCTTCGATGCAAAGGCACGGCTACCTTTCAAGATGGCGCAGGGAACTGTGAAGGGGACTATTACGACTCATTTGTACATAAACAGTTTTTTTTAAAAACTTTCTAGTAATTTCATTGAACCCGGCATTTACAGGAGCATGAGAATAGTACAGTATACGTAATGTTTTCCCATTTTAGACTATGTGTCATTCACAGGCCTAGAGTAGCGCACGAGAACATTGAACATGTACGCAGCTCARACAAAGAATCTTACTTTCAAGAGAATAACACTAACATGGGAAAATATTACACCCAAGCTTAAGATCTATCGTTTTTTGATAACACAAAGATCGGCGCGCGTGTTAAACACTCTACTTATGTACTTATAGTTTCCATTATCGCGGCAATTTCAAACAGCTCTTCGACAGCTTTTCTCATTTAAAAAATTTTTGAACTAATATTTATTAATTTTATTTAAATAATTAATTGTAATATTTCATATCAGTATCGTATTATTTAATGAATACGTACACCTTCCAATATGGGATAAAAGTGACAGCCTTTAGCTATCGCTCTTTAACACTATTCACATAAACATATTGATATTAAAATTTGTAATATTGAAAAAACAAAAATGATCCACTCTTGTATACTACCAAATAGAAATATGGCGACCAACTATTGTTCTGGACTGACTAACATCGTGTTCACGTGGAAACACAATTGCAAACTTAAGCGTTTTCACATGTATATGAGAGGCCATTCAGTCCAGAGCAATAGTTATTCAAATTGGTCCCTATATGTATTTCGATTTGGTGTAAATAATAATTGGATATTGTTGGGACTTGATCAATTTTAAAATATTAATTATTGAGAGTAATTGAATGACCAATTGAAAAGGCCTCAAGACTCATTGTGAGCGCGTGTGTGTATGAACACAACAACGCGTGCCATTTTCATTTATCAGGCACTCGTTCAACGCAAAGAAACCTTTATAATATAACTAGATTATTACGCGCGCTCTGATTGGCCAAAAACCAATGAACTATTTCCCCATGGGCTGCACCCTCGCGCACGCTGATCTCAACGGACGCTCGCCTTTTTTCTCTAAATTTTCAAACCCSATGGCGTCAATAGCGCGCGCACGAGCGAGATGGGTGATATAACGCGCGCTCTGATTGGCTGAAATGCCTATGAACTATTTGCCCATGGGTCGCACGGTAGATTTTTGGTCATATTATAAATCAGTTATACGACAAAAAAGCGCTCGCCCATGGCGATATAGAGGCACTTGAGAAAATATAAAGAACTCTTAACAAGCTAGAGTGTCACTCGGCTTCGCCTCGTGCCACTCTTTCGCTTGTTAATCGTTCTTTATATTTTCTCTCATGCGTCTATATCGCCATGGGCGCGCGCTTTTATGTCGTCTAACTGATAATTATTCTTCTCTGACCACAAACAGCCTCCTCCATTGCTCAGTTTACTTGGTCGCTGTTCCTTCGCTTCTCGGATAAATTCGTGCAGGTCCTTCCCATCAACATAAGAGCGGCATTAATATATTTGTCTCTCTATTAGCAAGTCTTTCAAGAATGAACCAAATCCAAAATAGGCTGTAGTGGAAACTCTGAGATATGCTGCTGAAGGGAATCTTGATCGCACAGCTGCTGAAACAAACTATGACAAATTTATTCAATTTAAATTATCTGCATATCATTGATATGGGAAAAAATATTTATTCATATTTAAACAGTTTAAGTTATTTATCTTTATTTAAATGTAATTTAAAAATGCATCTGGTTCAAACCCAAAAATAAAATTATAGATATCCTCTTGTTTCCTTTTTCTTCTTTATCCTTTTCTATATTTTTTTCTTTCTTTTTCTAGTGTTCATCTCCTATGAGATTAAATGCTGTTTTTAACTTGAACATACACTATATATATATTTGTAAATAAATAAAGTCGTAAAGTCATAAAGTCTTAAAGTCAGGGCTACTAATCAGTGAAGCCCCCCACCTGCCCAGCATACCACTAAAAACCCGTTGTGTGTATATCAGATACATGGGATGGAAGCGTGCAAAACGTTATGACCCATCCTGTGAATCAGCTTATAGACGATGCTTGTTGAGTTTTTAAAATAAGCCTGTTAAGTGCAGATGATTACGGCTATAAGGAAAACGTATTAATTGCTAATGACCGGGTGTAGTGCAATCCTGCATGCAGTGTTTAGTGCTCATAAGTCAATCCCTCTATACTACATAGTCCGGTTGAGTTTGTTATCCATTCCATCACTGGAAGCCTGTTAAGTGCTAGGATCCGTTATTTGAAGTATTTAAGAGAAAATGATCCAGATTGTGATTTAAGCCTGTTAAAAATAAGTCACCAAATTTACGATAGAAGACCTTTTAAGTGCTAGTGATTCGGTTAGTTGAAGTATCCAAGTCAAGTTCTGGTGATCTTTTCCTTAGTGGAAGCCTTTTTAAAGTTAAAAAAGTGCTAATGATTAAATATTCAGTCAGTGAAAGCATTTAAGTATTCATGGTGCCAGTGATCCATTTCTTAGAGGAAACTCGTTTGATCGAGGAAACACGTTTAAGCGTGGTGCTAATGTTTCTATTTGGTGAAAGCCTGTTCAGTCAGGTGCCAAAAATACATTCTACAGAGAATCATTTTTAGTGTTAGCTGCCTCATGCAATTAATGAAGCAAAAACCTCAGTGCATAGATCACGGCTGGAGATAAATGGAAATTTAGGTTATTTAAATTTCAGTACTTTTTTCGTTATTATTTTTCAACGAGTTCACATCCTTCGTGTTATCTTCGTTCGGTTTGGGTTTCATAAGCGAACTATTCCCCTTAGCGCTTGACCTAGATGTGCTACGAAAAGACGCTGACAGGTTTCTAGATTTCCTCAGCAATATCTTGATAAAGGCATTTCTAAAGTCGTTACTCCGCCAGCAGTAGATGATAGGGTTACAGAACGAAGATGTAAATGTCAATATCTTGACTAACGCGTTAATAATCCCTCTAGAAGCCGTAAAGTCTTCTGGGAAGCATTGGGGGCATACTTTTTGTAGAAAGTAGTATATGCAAGAGGGGAACCAGCATACAACGAACACACCTATCACTATCATAATGGTTACGTTTGCTTTCCGCTCTTTGCGTTCCTTGCGCTCTTTGGCGCCAATCCTTTTGTTAGTGAGAGACACACGAACAGATTTTCTCTCGCTTTTTATTCTTTGCATATGGGTTCGAGCGATGAAATAAATATATAAGTAACATAGAACAATGACGAGGAATGGAACGATGACGTTGCTGACAATCACCATGACGCTCCACCACCAGGTGGGTTCGTAATTGCACTCCTGTGAATCGCTCCCAGGGAGGGGTATGAAAGGCAGAAGTGACACTACGAGCGTGTCGACCCAAATCAATACCAAAGCCATCAATATTCGCTTGCGTGTCACCACGTTCACATAAGCCAGCGGATTCTTTACTGCAACCAGGCGCTCTACACTGATGACAGATAAACTCAGTATAGAAGCATAACCGCTGATAAAATATGAGAAGCGTGAAGCATCGCAGACGAATTTCGCATAAGGTCCATGTTCGATGAACTTCTTGGCAATGTACGAAGGCATAGCGATCATGCCTGCCATAAGGTCCGCCAAAGCGAGGCTGAAGATCGAGCAATACGTCACAGTATGTAAATTAGGTTGGATGTAAATAGCGATACAGACGAGTACGTTGCCAACAATAGTGCCAAAGGACTGTACCACCAGTATCCCTACCATGGGTATGAAGGGCATTTTGACCTCATATGTAGTAGAGGCGTTCTCATCTTCAGAAATGTTCGAGTACATCTTAACGGTACTTTGCCAGTAGAACCTGGAAAAAAAATTCAATTCAATTCAATTCAATTTCAATTTCAATTTATTGACCCTGTTTTTTTTTGTTTTTTGTTTTGTTTTTTTGTTTTTGTTTTTGTTTTTTTTCAATTTTACATAATAGAATTACAAGAATACATATAGCTTGAATAATATTTACAATGTTTGCTATGGTTAACATATAATAGGTGTAAGTGTACGACAGCCAAAGGAGCTAATAAAGCTTTCTAGTTGGCTGTTTTAATTTTCATTTAGGGTCAAAGAAGAAAAAAGGAGAAAAAGAGTGAACAATAATTTCAAGGCTCGGTTTACATCGAGGTTCTCAAGCCAAATATAGTCTTACGTAGTCTTATAGTTAGCTAATATCTTCCTTTATTTTGATTGGAATTAACAAAAATGGTTAGTCAATTAGGATCCCGAGACCACAGTCCATCACAGACTTCCAATCATGCGCTCTATTATACATTAAAACTTTTCATAAGATGTACAAGCTCATTTAATTTTGCATTCAAATACGAGAAAAAGTGGAAGCCTAAAGCTTACACTTTGAAGAATATAAGAAGTGCAAGTATAAAGATTGCACGATGAAGAATATGAAAAAAAAAGGAAAAACAAAAAAAAAAAAAAAAAAAAAAAAAAAAAAAAAAAAAAAAAAAAAAAAAAAAAAACAACAACAACAAATGCACCAAAAACTAGAGAGAACAAAATATAACGACGACGACGAGAAAAAGAAAAAAGAAATAAAGAAATAAAGAAATAAAAACCCCACAAAGGAAGCCTTTTTCAGATTATCTTATGGTTTTTCTGATGATTGTGATGCATTGCAGCAGGCTTTAATCTCATAACGATGTCTGCTTCATAAAGACCCACTAGAAGAAGATGGTTGAAGTATCCTAGTCGACCACAATTTACTGCGCTCCGAAAACAAAGAAATGCTATGCAATGCCCCATTTCCTCTGTCAGGCAAGATGCCGGTTTTGTAGATGTAGTGTGAAAATCCAATTCCATCGGTCTTCTTATTCCTGTTATCATGATATCCTGATCATGATATACCGATTCAAAATCACTTTGTACTTTTAGTAAGATYTTAGGAATTTTGGCAACGAATCAAAGGTAGATTTCGAAAGGTGTGAAGCCTAAGTGTTGGAAGACCAAAAAGTCATAATGTAACAAAAAGAATATCTCTGAAAAATTCAAACTCCTTTTGTGTTTTTTTAGGAATGAAAGGAAGGAAACTTATAAGAATTTGAGGACTTTGGGATAGCGAAATTTGCAGAAATATTGCTCCAGCACAGAGCTTTAAGAGCTTCGAAAACGATGTACGCAAAAAACGAAGTAAACAATAATATAGGGGCGCATTGTATTGTGGCTGACTATAATTTTTTGATAGACAAATACAATGAAGACAGTGAATATCCACATTCTAAACCTCTTAACCCTGCAGACCTTACGGAGTCTTATCTTTATAAACAGATATCGAACTATTTCGATCGATAAAAAAAWTTTTTTCCCCAACTGTATACAAAAAGCAAAATTAAAATAAAATAGGACCTCGGAACCTTGGACAACTTCGCTAAAATGGTCCTCAGGCTTGCTTGGCTTGGAGAAGAGGAAGGCTTAAGTAAAACTAAAACCTTAACATAAGAGGTCTTACCGATCTAAGGGCAATATAGCCCGAAGTTATTGTATTCACTTCTATTCAAAAATACCATATTTTTTAGAACGTGTGCCGGGCTTAGCGTCGAATCCAGGAGTTCCTTGTTTTGTTTTCCTTATTTCTGCTTTTGTTTTTATTTCAAGGTGAGGCTAAGCCCGCATATTCTAGACATTATGATATTTTTAAAGAAAATTGAATAGGAAATGCGCTTTAGAAACATCCTTTTGTCAAGTGTGCCATCAAGTCCATCTCAAAGTGCTTCCATGTGGCTTAAAAGTAAGAAGAATTAATGGTTTTTATCTTTTCCGTTCACTAATTGCTGTTCGGTGTTTTTCAGTTTTGCTGTTTTTAACGAGTGCGGATATATTTTAATTCATTCTCACTGGAGAAAAAGCCGGCTGGAGTGTTCATTCTCAAGTAGCAAACTTCATTTTCATCTCTTTCCCGTTTACGGATACCATTGTTAAAAGGACGTCCGCATTTTGATTCCCTCAAACGATGGAAAAAAGTTCGCTGCGGACGCATAGAAAACCCATATTCCGTGGTACGGCTTGTATTTATTTTTCGTTTCGTAGATTTTCAAAGTTTCCCTAATTCTTTTTACTGATACTTCAACACGTCTGTCGACTATGATTCATATCCTCGGCTGATGTTGCGTGTCTTTCAGTTAGGTTGTACTTTAGATTCCGTATCTAAGGAACTTTATGTTTAATGCATATTAAACTCGTTAATTGGATTTAAAATAACAAATCGCAATTGTGCATGTTTTCTGTACGGATATCGAATAAAAATGCGAAATTCATCAGTCACAACAAACCGACCACCTTAATTGTAAAACAGAAAAACACTAAAAACGTAAGAGAAAAGTCCGGCTGCACGCAGGCTAATTGACCGGCAATATTGAGCCGTTTGAAACAATAAATAAATCTATAATACTACTGATTTTACATTTCATATATAATTAATTCAAAAACAGTGAACTTGCCATATCGAGTGATAGTCTTATTGAACACCATTTTTGATTATTAATAGAAACTGATAATTTATGATATATCTTTAGATACAAATAATAATTATTAGAATCATATTAGCAACTAAAAACCCGCGCGTGTTTTAAGAAATATATATTATATTTGACAGACCTTATTCCTTTGATTTCGACGAAAGATAAACGTCTGAAAGCTCTTGAGTTATACCTTATTTAATCTTTAAGATTTTTACTTAACGATGTTCGAGTTACTCATTTCATTTTATTCCAAGCTGCATTACTTCGGTTTTTGTTTGGTGTATCGATAACTTAGTAAAGATAATATGGTTCATTTTTCTCTCCTGATTTATACTGTATTTTTTAAAGTCTAAACTCTAAAATCATCGGTCTGCGACTTCATTTATAAATTATGGACTATCTTAATTGAAAAGAGTGAAAAATCTTTGGTTAAGAGCATGAACGTAACACAATTTTTCATTTTCATATGATATTTTTTAACGCTTGCTTTTTTTGAATACATACCTTTTATTTTGTTTCATTCAGAAAGGTTGTTTTTCGGTGGTTTTACCTGGATTAAAAATGGATCGAAAGGAATTGCTGTGGATATAAAGGGCACTTCGCCATTGAGACTCGCCTCTTAATAGATTCACAGACACACAGTTCAATATACCTCTGTGCTTTTAGCTGCGGTGAGATATTTATCGTGATCGGTATTCGTTGGGCGCTGAAATCTTAAGGACTTTATCGAGGTCTGAATTCAGGAAATAAGCCTGGATTGATTACAGTGCCCTTGAACGCTAGCTTCCGAGTGGCTGATTGTTTGCATAGGATCGATAATATGAATAAATAGGACGAGGAAGCCCCAAAAGTGCTTTAGGGCCTATAATATATAGGAAAAATAAAATGAACTAAAGTCGTCAACCGAAAGCACGGAAAGAAAAAAAAAGTCAAAGGGAGGCAAGAAAATAATTTTTCTAGTTAAACACGTAGAATATGACAAATGTAGAGTATACTCAGTACAGAAACGTTGAAATTTAGTTAACAATTTATGATTAAGTTTACTCCTATTTGAAAAAATATATTTTGATATTTAAACATACTCGTGCAAATTATAACCCCAAGTCGATCCATGCGAAAAAATTGAGGAATGGTGAAGAATGAATTAAATTAAAGCAGAAAACGAGGAGTGGTTTGGGAGGATTAATGTAAATTCGCCTTAGGGGAAAAATTAATGATGGAACATAGGCCGTTTGCATGACGACGTTATTTAATTAMAAATACCAAGTTTAATGCTTCGCGGATTCTAGTGGTTGTAGATAATGACAAATACAAGAATTGTAATTTTGCCCGGAATTCCGCAGTTAAATGGCAGAATCATTTATTTCCTTTTTACTCACTTTATGACTGCAGTTAGCAGAAATAGATAAACTGAATATTCTGTGGTTTTAAGGAGGAAATAATTCTTCCGGTCTTGATCTCTGCTCTTTGATTTTCGAGACTGATACTGATATAAGCTGACTTATTCAGTAAATAAATGAACCAAATGATCTGCGTTTTCCGCTATGGGTAAAAAAAAAACTTCTTCCTGTCTTGATCTCCGATCTGCTCTTTGATTAGAATGGTGAGAATTACTGTTATGAGCTGACTTATTCAGTAAATGAATTAACCAAATCTGATCTGTGCTTTCTATGGGTAAAAAAAAAAAAAAAAGATCTCTGCTCTTTGATTTAGGATAGATACTGGTGTAAGCTGACTTATTTCATGCCGAAGTACATGAGCTGCTTTCTCTCCAGCAGTGTCTTTCGTTCAGTTTTAAGGGGTTCCGAGCTAAGTGGTTAAACAAATATACGAGAGATTGATGAGCTTCGAACTTTGAAACTCAAACTAAACGAACAGGTTACTAACATATAATTATACGCTTTATCTTTCCTTGATCATGTTAAACTCAGTACTGAAGAGGATATTCACGTACTACTCAAGCCTTTTGTGACTTTAGGGCCGCTCTGATTCAGATATATTGATTTTATCAAAAAAGATCAACCTGTCAATCAAGAAAATAGTGAAGAATGATTACTATGTTTGAGAACACCGCAACACGCGATTAAAAAGAAANAAAAAAAAAAAAAAAAAAAAAAAAGAAAGAAAGAAAAAAATTATTATTATATAAAATAATAATGCTGCAGATCGCATATATGATGTGGCGACTGCAAAGAATATGTCTAAAACTACACTTTGCTTGTTTATTTTTTGATTACACAAGAGATCAGAGAGCATATGACTTTTTAAAAATATTTTTTGTTACTGCAAATTTAAAACTGCTTATACCAATTCCAAAATATTTTTTAAATTTATTTTTTCTAATTTCCTTCTTTGTGTGTTTTAAGCTGCTTTTGTGTTTCAAGCTGTTACAGAACAAATTTCAGTATATCTTTGCTGGATTCAGTTATGGAGAGCATATGTCATCCTCGGGAATCTATGGTCGAAATTCTGTCGTTCGGTTCTCGCTTCCACAGAATTGTACTTTTGGGTTCACGAGGAAGGTGGATAGTATGACCTGTTTAGAATTGCTATCGTAGAAAGTTCACAGAAAAATTAGAATTCAAAAACTAAAATAGGCATTATAACTTATTCATATTTTGCAATTAAGTCACTCGATTGTAATGTAATACTTTTTGGTTTTCAAAGAATGGACAGAATGCAAAGAAATTAAAAAAACTCGCGATGCTGGCTTAACATTTATTTTCAGTGAGCTATCATGTAAGTTGAAAATATGCTGCTCCAATATGGAATTATGGAAAATATCAAAACAAACAATACATGTCGTTCCTTATTGTAAGTCAATAATAATCTCTGCAGGGTGAATTACAATTAAATCCACCGGTTGGAACTCAACAAATGATATAGAATTAGCGAGCGGTAGTATTTCAATAGCTTTAACTTTGCCGTATAAAGCTTARATTGAATTTCAGTTGAAAGAAGACATTCAGCATATGATTATATATTCCCTCAAAGTCAATAAAATAATTTAAACATTTACCTACTGTTTCTTCCTCTTTGTTTATCTACTTAGTGCAGGAGTCTTGGGGAGCTCTAAATGGCAATGGTTTCGCAGTATTGAACAGGCAACCGGTGTAGGCACGTATGGTAACTCGCATGAACTTCCGAGCATGTCCCCACAGTGTTTCATAAGGTACAATGGCTAAAAATGGCTTCAAATATCTGAAGCTATCACGATCTTATCGTATCTTATATTGTCATGGCGACAAAGATATTGAAAGCTTTGCAGATGTAGATCTTCACCTATTTCAAAAAACCGGTTGTCGGTATCTGTAATCAGAAATCTGAGACCGATTGGAATTGTGGGGGACTAAGTGTTTTCTCGTTAAAAATTCAATATACACTTACCCAGATATCTTGCCAGCGCAGGTCATCGCTCAAATTAGTATATTAAGATATTAACTTTTTGCGAACTAATTAAAACCACGAACAATTTACAGCTTACAACCCACAACTCCCTTCGGTCTCAGATTTCAGATCTCCGACCGACGACGTTTTTTGAAATAGGTGTATGTTTCTAGCATATATGGAGAGGATGATAATACGTTTGCACGTTTGCTCCCTTGCACACATTCTATTGTTCAGTTAATTAGCACCAATTGTCTTACTATTCTCATGAGGGAATATAAATGTTTCAAACGAGAAAGAAAATTCGCGAAGCATTGTGGTAGTAATGACGCCATCATGTAAACGTCCTATATAATAGCTCTATTTATTGGAATTGAAATGACAATTCAATTCCCATGACACTACACTTATAAACGTGTGATCTTGAAACGATTCACATGACATATGTAATCAGTGCAAGAACAGCTGGACAAGTAACTAAAATGTGCTGATTAAGTTTGGCCGTTTCAGGAACTAAGTATTTCAGCCATAAGGCCGATTTACACGGTACAGCTTTTGCTTACAGCTGTCGCATTGCGTCGTGTAAATCACAACTTGCTCACAACTATTGTGTACTAAACAAAACAAAAAAAGTCGTAGGCTTTTAAAACTTTACGGCAACCGTAGCAGAAAATTGGCCACAAAATGGCGGAGGACGCAGGCAACGAAGTGCTATAGAAAAATATGAAGAGATAGATAAAGCCTTTAGTTTTAAAGAAACAGAGAGCCGATAGGCTCATGTGGTGGCGAGGAGATGCTGTTTAACTGCCGTCACGAGGAATACAACGATTTTTAGCAAATATGCAATTGAGTAAACCGAGAAAATTACGACACACGATTTTTTGTGATCGTAAGCTAAGCCGGAGTTGCGCGCGTGTAAATAACCGCTAAAACGATGTCCGCTAAAACTCGGTTGTGTGCAAAAGTTGTAAGGCAAAGTTGTACCATGTAAGTCGTCCTTCAGACACTTGATAATTTTAATTTTCTTAAGAATAAAAACGTTTTTACTGAATTTTTAATGAAAGAGACTGGAATTTTAAAGACTTACTCGGTTTTTAAGTCAAAAGGAAAAAATTTAAATTTAGATAAGAATAATGAATTATTAAAGAAAGGCTTAAAATTACTCAGTGTCATTCAATCTATTTTTTCTTTTAAATATATGGATCTATTTTCTCTTTTCTCAATTAATTAGTTCTTAAAAGATGGAGATTTGCAGTTAATTAATAAAAAGTAATATTGGAATTACTTGATCTTTTTTTTTTTTTTGTTGTACAATTGTCGATAAAAATCTAGTAAGCTCCTCTCCAATATGTCTTTCTATAATGATGTCAGTTTTCGTTCCCACGCGAATATAACATGTTGCCAAGTGTCAAAACTCACAGGACAGAAAGAATATTTACATTAGTTTGGAAAGAACCTGTTAAATTTAATAAGAATGCAAAGTTTGAAGGAAGAAAGTTCAAAACTCACAAAGATATGACTTTTTATCAAAAAATCGAAATCATTTGTTCGTAGCAAGAGAGACGGCAAGAGATGCTTGTGACCGGTAAAGGCTTTCTCAAGAAATTCGCACTTTTCGAAAATCATATCTTCACGAGTTTTGAACTTATTTCCATCACACTTTATGTCGTTTTAACAACTTTAGCATGCTATTTCCAGGCATGGAAATTATTTGTTTTTGCTTTACCAATTCAAAAATATACCTGATATATAAGAGCATTTCAAAACACTGAGCTCGTCACCGTAACTCTCAACACCGGTATCGTTTATCTAGCATTATTAGCAAATACATTAGTAAAAAAACATAATCAACCTATGAAATACTACCTTGGGCAAGTGAAGATCAAAGACTTGATTTGTTGATGTGAAAAAAAATCAGTTTTTCATTCACTGCTTGTATCAATGATATCGTCAAAACTCGCGATTTCTAGATGGATTTTACAAATGATTTTTTTTAAATGTGGCTGCGTGGTTTGTGCTCTATATTCAATTCAAATACGGTTTCTAAGCGGTTTTATATCAAGTTACTCTTAGCCAGAAAGAAAAAACTTCAAATTTAGTATATTTTACCATGTGTTAATTCCAGTATTGTCGATAATTCTTATTTATATTTGATGGATGGAACGCTCAACTTTTCACCCTCATTCCCTTGAATTTATAATGTTTAATTCTGAATTTTGAGCTATATTTATATTTTTACTAAATACGAAGCCTTTTCAATCTATATCTTACCCTTCCTGATGCATTCCCATATAAATCTTCGTAGCTAGCTTGTTTTAATCTTATATTGAATACAAGGGATGAATCTCCTTTTAACTGGCCTG